TAAACCTTAATCCCTGGTTTTACTGTGCTGCTTCTGCTTAGTCAGTGTTGCCTCTGCAGTCACACCGGGCTTTCATGTTCACCTTGTTCAGGTATCTGTACGTTATGCTAGCAGATTTATTACATGTTGCTAATGAATTGCAATGATTATTTAATTCAAATCACTACTGACTAAAAATCTCACTAATGGTTTATTTTTAAAAAAAACTGTGTTGTTTATAATGTTAGCAACCAGTTTAGTTGAACCAATCAGGTGATGAGATGACATAGATAGATTTCAAAAACACGTCACATCACATCATCCCCCACAACATCGACCTCCAAAGCCCCACAGAAGGACTAAAAAGTGTTTATCTCAAAGATTAAAATGAATATTAAAAATATAATTATTTTGACCTGCAGAGGCTCTCTGCACACCTGAGGGGTCGCGTCCCCTACTTTGGAACACACAGCCTTAACCAATCAGCTAATAGGATGTAGTGAGTATAACCAAGATTCAGAAAATAGTTCTTGGCTGAACTAGACCCACAGAAAAAGAAAACCAGAAAACAGTGCCATCTTGCACATGTAGTGCTTTTCTCTCCGTAACTCATTGTTTACAACTATTTTTATACATAAAGGAGCTTCGTTATGAACACAGACTGGCTTTGAACCCGTCTAAATAGACTCACTGAACTGCGGGTGTTTATTTTAGTGTTTGGTTGAAGGTTTAGTTTTTCTTCAACTATATTTAATTTATAAACAGGGAAGGTTTATGTTCATGTCATTCAGAAACAAAACAAACAGAAGTGTCATAGAAGACAGAGAGAGAGGTGCTGCTCCAGTGTTAACAAAAGGTAATGCTACAAAGTTAATTACATTTAGTTAGTCCATCAAAATGACGTACTAAAATTCCTCTTTAATTATGTATCGGCATAATCATTTCATAATTGTCTTATAATAATAAAATGAATATGGCCTCATAATACTAATCAAAGGTAAGGACAAGTGTCCATTATTCTCTTTGTTTTGTCCAAATGTTAACGCCTGGAGAGTCTTCTCTCTTTTTCTTTCTTTTTTTTTTTTTAATACGTCTACATTATCTCGACCCAAACCGCAGGGAGAATCTCGTCTCCCTACCTCCCGTCTGGATACTTCTTATTCGAGGCGGTCTCTTCTGTGTTATCTCAGTGTTATCTACTCTCTTCATCTGCTTTCACGTGAAACCCTCAGCGTCCGGTCGTCCATCAGCTTAAAAGAGCTACATGCTACTTTGCTGCTGCTGCACCTGTGTTGACCAGAGCCACTCCAATCACATACCAGACACTAATGCTTTTATCTCCAGACTCCTCGTGGGTCTGAACCATCAACCTCCAGTTAAGCACACGTCTGTACTGTCACTGTGTTGGACGAGTAACATTCTTTATTTTTTTTGCAATCCCCTGCTTGAACATCAGTCACGGTCCACACTGACTGTAACAGACAAGGAATCTATCATGACACAGAGCCGTGTTTGTCTGTAAATATCTGCCTTGGACAAAATAGTCAAAAACCCAACGGTATTAGACCTAAATCTTGCCTGCTGTGATTGTATTTCTTGAGTATTTCACCTGAACAGATTTTGCACTCGGTCTTTAATTGAAGGTTTCCACTCATCTGAAGTGTTGTCTTTTAGCTCCAGGTCACTCTGGATAATAGAATCCACTTCATGTTAATGTGTGTTTTGGACAAGTGCAGATGATTAAAACTTCCTTTGTTTTCTTTGGGAATCACTGAAAACATGTCTTCTTCTCTGTGTATTGGAGCTTGTTAAAGAACTGACAGATGCGTTACTGCCATCATGTGGTTGACGCTGCATTGTTACTGAGCTTCTCATGGATAACATACAGTATCTCTGGTGCCTTCAGTTGAAATCAACTATGCAGTCCCTTGTGCAACAATGAAAGGTTATTGTGGCCCTCGAGGTGGCGCTGGTGGCCCCAGTTTGGGCCGTGGCCCTATGGTTGAGAATCGATTTCAGTTCCATTCTGATTAACCCACCTACTTTGTGTGTAATGTTAAATACCCCAGTACTAGACCACGGTGGTCAGGATTCGTCAGCACATCACTGGGATGTGATTACATCGTCATGATTATCTATGGTCACAGCAACAGCAGCAGCAGCAGTGACAGCAGAAGACAGATCTCCCAGCCTACAGTAAATGCACCACCAATAACATGAGTGCAGGTCCAGGTCTGAAAGCATGCAAAGAGATGTTGAATTGTCCACGTTATAGGCCACAATGCTGGGCTTCAACCTTGGGTAAATGAATGCTATTTTTTGGTTGCTGCAACTTTTATCTTGTAAATGTTTTTTTTTAATGAATTGTATTCTGGCTGCAATGAGTCAGCGGCTGATGAAAGCCTAACAGTTGATTAATATTCAAGAG